TATTTTTTAAGAAAAGGGAGGGTGGTTCTTAAGAAAAAAGGGTTGCAAAGGTTTGAATCCACAGTTCACTTAGTGAAAGGTTGTCACACGTATTCAACACAGCTTTTTGGTTCCACAGGTTCTTTGGTTCAAGAATTTTACAGGGGAAAAAAGTAACAACAAAGTTAAAGGCAGGTGCTCATGAAAGACATCCATTAATCTCCGCTCTCTGTAAAAAAGCAGGAGGGGATTTTGGTCCAGCACAACTGAGAATGCAGAGAGGTTCAGGCTCTGCTGTGTGATAAGACCATCCACAATAACCTAGACACAGTTAAGTGTTCTGCCCATACCACCACTTTGTTCATACTAAAGAAGTGGTTGGACAAACACTTTAAACTTGGATAAATGACACCAACAATTAAATTAGAAAGCAATCCATTATCTCCAGATACTCATTTTGCACCTAGGCCACCCAGAATTCCCTGAGAGAAGCAGAAATACCAAGTGGCTGCACAGCAAATTAGACGGAAAATGTTATTCAGATAAAATTATCTGAGCCAAATAAGTCATTTTTTTTTAAACCAAACCACTCCCCTGAGCAATGGCACAAATGAACAGGGAGGGGCTGAGAAGCATGGGATATCCAAATCGTTCCCTTCTTTGCCAATTTTAAATGTTCAGGGGACTGTGTCTTCCCTGACCCATCAAAATGCTTATAAACGAAACCGAATGCAATACATATTAATAAGACAATACTGCTTCCCATTCTTGCTCCTCCTGTCCTTCACACCTTACTGTCAGTTCCACACCTTTACGAAGTTAGGCCAAACCAAGTGCTGATGCAGCACACCGAACTGGATCAGAGAAAACAGTAACTAAAAAATTAGGGTTTTCTTCAAGTAAATTATTTTTCCCACAGGAAGTTGCGACTAAGGACTATTTAGTCCAGAATATACTTATTAATTCACCCAGTTTTATAGGGTTTTAGTCAAATTTCTCTTAGTATATTTGAAACCTTACAGGTTTCAGTTTTATTTGAATGTGGTTATTCCATCTACACATAACAATTACTTCAGGTTGTTGCCATATGCTGCTTTTTTGATGGCTTTTATTATTTCAAGTCCAATTCTATGCCAGGTACTGCCTCCCTGGCCTTTGCAGAGCTGCTACCAAGACCAGCACTAAATTGATCCACCTTCTATCAGCTGGCACCACAAGGACAACTTCCTCCAGAGTTGGATTTAAAAACGAAAAGGCAAAACGAAAGGGAGTTGTGGAGGTCTCCACAGAACATCTCTTAAGAGTGGGAACACCATAGATTCATTCAATCTTGCAGATTGCTTAGAGGTTTTTGTCTACTACATCTTCATTTAACGAAAATACTTGGTGCACATACTTTAATCCACATGGAAACCCACAAACAGAACTCATCAAAAGGGTTGGAATAATTTATAACTACTAGATTTACTTCAGAAAATACCAGTGAAAATTTATTTCAGACAAATATACGGCCATGTTCACATGGAAAAAGGATGATAAAAAGGTTTTTAGGCTTCCATTTATTTTGGATTCCTTTCATCATATACATCTACTGCCTGGTTTCCAGAGATCTCAGACCCTTTCAAGTGCAACAGTAATCCCAGGCTTTCAGATCTTGTTAATTCATCCAAGTCACCTAAAATTAGAGGGCAGAGTTTTACATTTTGATCATTGTGGTGGGGCTGTGGCACAGCAAAGACAACACATGCTGCTCAACTTGGTCCAACATTATCTAACTTCCAAACCAGCTCTTGCTTTCTGTGCTCACACAACTATCTGGAATCTATGCCGGCAATGAATACCGAGACTGTAAGACAGAAACATAGCTAAAAATGAAAATGTTTCTGCTACGTAAACAGTCTATAAAGACAAAATCCATTACATTACCAGCTTCCAAATACAGTCCTTGAAGAATATGCCAGCCAGTGGATGGTTAAGAATTTCAGCATATTGGGCCAGAATCCAAAACCCTCAAGCCAGTTGGTAATTAACAGACATCTAGGTCCTCCACATGAAAGAAGTCTATTGTTAAAACAGTGACACAAATTTTTCCTTTCCTTTTCATAGGCGGTCTCTGCCTGTGTTTTAAGATTCCCTTAGGACTATAACAGCCTATGATTTTAGAAGCTCACTTCTCAAATGGACAATTTGTTAGATTTTTAGTTGCCAAGAATGCAAACATGCTTATGTCACAGGTACAACAAAATCATTTTACAGGCTTCTCAGAGACCCATAACCTCTCCTTTTTTCACTTAATACCTGGAAAAAATTAATATTCAAATAACCTTCTAACATATCTACAATAGCAAAAGAACTACAAAACATAGTAACAAAACATGCTGAGGGCCTGTAAATAGTCTGAGTCCAACTAGTGAGCAATGTACCTATGGGGAATATTAGCCCGTGTCCTCATAAATAATTATGGGTTACAGCAAAATTTCTAACATAAATCAAAGGTTGCCTCACTAAAAACATTTTGTTGGCAATGAATTTGTAAAGTAGTAATGATCTGTGATCTGTATAGAAATGCCTGTTCTCTCTTCTGTTATCTTACTCAAGATGTGTGAAAAACAAGAGACTACACATAAACCATGCTCAAACTAATCAATGTAATAAAAGAGAACACTATGTTAAAGTTGCATTTTGAAAGAATGAAGTGCGGACACTCATCTATAAAGGAGCAAGTTAAAGCACCAAGAAGCATAATGGAGAAAGTGACAGAGAAGGAGCTGGCGGAAGTACTCAACTGATGAAGATACTTTAAGAAGAAAATAGTCTATCAAACAAAGAGCCAAGCCCATCAGAAAAGGACAAAAAGCTGTACGAGAGTTAAAAAGCATTTTCCAAATGCCCATGGCTTTCCAAAGTCTATGGCTTTTACTGCTTTGTGTTTTCTGGAGTCTGACTGGTGTCTCTACTTCACCCAAGTCTATCTGGTCATAGGAGGAAACACCCAGATCCCTACGGCATTCAAGTTGACAAAAACATCCCTGGAGAAGAGAACTAGATGAGACAGTTCCTTTTGGACCAGCTTCACCTCCTCCCACTCAAAGGAGCTGTTTGTGGTCTGCCTATCTATGAAATCGTCCATCTGAAGTCTCTACAGAACTATGTAACAAAAGCGTAATTCAGCAACTCAAACAACAGCACCATTCACCAGGACAGTCAGTCCTTTCGTTGCCACCCTAACAAAAGGTGCTAGCAAATGTGTAAGCACGTGGGACTGCTGCTCTCACCTTGGGGTGCAGGTAGTCAGTCCAGGTCTAGACTGCAGAGCCCCAGGAAGCTCACACTGCTGCTGGAGGAGTGCTGCAGGCAGGTTGCTGGGATGTCAGATCAGCATCGCTTGTGAGCTTCTGCCACCTAACAGGTTTGGGAAGAACTGAGCTTACTGGCTCACAGGCAGAATTTGCTGCTGTGTTGCAGAAAGGCTATATTACAGTTCCAGGATAAAAGCAAAACAAAGGAAACTCAAGTATGTTTCAAAACTGCCTCATTAATTTTGTCTTATGTCATTAATTTTGTTTTAAGAAAGACACATTTCCCTTTTTTTTGCTTCAAATAACATTTGAAAGCAAAATACATTACTACTTTCTAATATATTCATAATTTCTCTTTTGGCCAAGGCAGGCAGTCATGTTTTTTCAGCTTCTTCCCATCACTGGGTTCCATCTTCTCTGTATTTGGTATATTCCTCACGTACAATTTGTAAGGCCCTAAGCGTTTCCAAACACTCAGTATTCACAAACACATATATTAATAATTTAATTAATCTGCAAGCATCATCTCATAATGCAGAATATTCCAAGAGCAAGAAAAGCTTGTGCTTAATTTTAAAATAAATAATTACAAGGGAGAAATCTTTTTTAAGATGTAAACTACTATTTTTATTAAGAGATTTGTCAGCACATCAGTGACACTGAGCCATCCTGTTCCCAGCAATGTTATTGTGAGTTGTCCCATTCCTTTCTGTGGAGCTGGGCAGTTCTCATGGGCTGAACTTCAGACACAGGCACAGATGTAGGCATGCCTGTGTAAACATTTAAAAGGTTTTATACAAGTCCAAAGGAGATGATGGACATCAAAATCTTCTGGAAGATCCTGGGTCAGACCAGAGCTTCAAGTCATGTAAATACAGTATTCTCCCGAAAGAAAAATTAAATTTCTATCTTGCTCTCTCCCCAATATTTTAGTAATACCACAAGATTAGAGATCCTTTAACAATTATTTGAGCGTATTATGTTCATATCTAGAGTTTAAAGCGGTGGCAAAAAAAAGAAGCGACAAAAAAAGGGTTGACAAACCACCCTCACTGCCTTTTAAGAGTGGATTATTTTTTAGCCCCTCTGAAAAATCCCTTTACATAGCCACAATGCCAACACTTGCAAAGGCAGCGCTGCTTAAAATTTTGAAGGGCGACACAAACCTTTATTTTCACACTGTGAATCGAAAAGGGCAGCGACAATTTAGCACTTCATAGGGCAGCGCCACAGCCAGCTAGGGTGAAAGGCAGCGGCCAGCAGTTAAGTTACGCAACTCGCTCACTCGTTATCATACGTTTTCATTTATGACACATTTATGAAGACGCCGCAGCCCGACCCTGGCCGGACCACACCAGCACGCTCCCCCAGCCCACTCACCCTTCACCCCCCTGCCCCGACATAACGACGACACCCCCACAGCGCCCCGGGGACGATCCGCCCCCCCTCGACCCGCCCCCTCCAAGATGGCGGACGCACCTCCAGTCCCTCGCTCTGCCCCCCCGTCTCCGCCGCCTCTGCGCGGGTGCGCGGCCCCGCCCCCTCTTCTCATTGGCCATCGCCGCCGTCCCTCCCGCCGCCGCAGCCAGTAGTAGCAGAGACAGCGGCGGTGCGCGCAGGTTTATCCCCACGCGCGCGGGCCCGCCCAGATCCGCTGGCTCGCGCGCCCCGGCGGAGTTGCGCCCTCTGGCGTGCGGCGGCGCAGGTGCGGGAGGAGGAGGAGCAGCAGCAGTGCGGGGGGCCGCGGCGAGGCCCTGAGGGCTGCGGGAGTGACCCGGGGCCCGGCCCCTGACCGCAGGCTCACCCCATGCCAGCCTCCCCCTCCGACAGGCATCCCGGGCCCTGCCTTCGGCCGTGCCGGAGCGCAGCGAGACCCACGCGGCGCGCCCCGGCCTGAGGTGGGCTTGGCACTGCCCCGGCGCGGATGACAGCGCTCCGAGCGGCCTCCCCGGAGGATGGAAGAGAAAAGAAGTAAGCCTTAAAAAACAAATAGGTGTATGTTTTGAGCAGTCATTGGTCTTGTGAGAAACAGTTCTAGAAGCTAACAGTCTTCCCTTAAGGTATTTTCCCATTCAGCCAAAGGAAGTATCTGTTCCAGAGTTAATGAAAATGGTTGTGTTTTTTCAGTTTTAGCATAGAAAAGATTAAATAGCCAACATAAATGGAATGGAATGGGCTGCCCAGGGAGATGTTGGAGTCACCATCCCTGGAGGTGTTTAAGGAAAGACTGGACGTCACACTCAGTGCCACGGTCTGGTTAACACGGTGGTGTTCGGTCACAGGTTGGACTCGATGGTCTCAGAGGTCTTTTCCAAACTAATTGATTCTGTGATTCATGATGATGGAAATTTGGAATCTTCAGTGTGGTTGAAGAGTGCTGCCTTGCTTCTCCTTACTGTTCTTACAGTGTAGATACCTTGCTTCATCTTGCATCTGCCAAGAAACAGATTCCGTAATATATTTACCTAAAAGAAGCTTTCCTTTTTTTTTCCCCTAAATAAATTAGTTTAGTTGTAGTACTGACAGCACAAATTTAAAAAGAAAAAAAGAACTGTGAGCTAATAGGCAGTGGGGATTGTGTAGGCTCACCTGAATGTACTGGAATGTATGGGCCATCTGTGACCACTTCATGCCTGAGGGATAGTAAGAAATGACTACGTAAAAAAGCTTCCTTATGCAGCTTGTTTCATTTGAGTGGTCCTCAACTATGTCTTGACAAGGCGTGGGATGATATATGAAAGAAGGATGACTGTTTCACCACAGCACCGCACAGTGCTCCTGCTGATACTCACTGTAGTATTTACTTGCATAAATTTTGAAAAGCTGAGTAGCTACAACCATTTTGGTTGCTCACACAATCTCTTACTTGTACATTCTTGTACATAACTTGTACATTATGTACCTACCATACAAGTGGTGCACACTTGTAGTGCTGCGCGACTTCTTTGAAGAGGAGCACCTTACCAGTTCCAGGGAGGAGAGCATTAAAGGTAGTATAATTTGGATTTATGGAGGGGAAGAGGAAGGTAGTGTATATTTGGCACCGCTTCTGATGTGAAAATGATAACTGAAAGACAATAGCTTTGCCTTTTATGGTTTAAGATGTTAGTCAGCAGCACTGCAGGAAACACGTTCATGAGTTGTTTTTCTAGTGGCTGGAATAAGCAGCCCTGACCTTGGCTGCTTGTTTCTTGCTCTAGCATCATTGCCCTGCACAATGCTGGAAAAAAAAGTGATATGTGGCCACAAGGATTCTATAGAGGGAAAAGAAAATCCCTCCAGCCAATTTTAGAACTATTGCCACCAGATGCCATTCCACACCTTGAGTCATCAGCTGGTGTGATGATTCTGAAAGCTGACAAGGTAAACGCTTCCTATGTCTGTTCATTACCTATCCTCCTGTCTGGGGTTGACAGTAGCAGCATTAACATTGGAGAGATGAAGGATGTGGACATCTGTCTTTTTTGAAATGAAAATTGTACTGTGAACTTCATATGCGTTCTTTGCTTCTCTGTGCAAAACAAAGTTTTTGCTGCTAGAGTTTTAGGACACTCCAGCATGAGAACTGGGGAAGCATTTCTAAGGTGAGCGAGCACTACTCATAGTAGTATATGTTTTATTTCTCTTTGGCCTATGCATGATTATAGCTGAGGGCCCAGAAACAAAAAACTGTGTTTTGTCACCTGTCCTCTGAAGTAATACATCCACCAATCCAAAAAATCATCCAAATTTAGTAAATGTATTGAAGTGTCTGAAAACCGGTAAAGAATGAGGACAGCAGTTTTGATCTATTCCTGAATGTGTATTTTGAAACGCAAATATGAAATATACTTACTTCTCAGTATTTTAAATTTGTGATACTGTCATGCACAGCGAAAGGATGGGAATGGCACAGGGCAGGCATTGTCTCTTGGACCAGTAATGTAGGCTTCCAAAAATCGTTGTGGCTTTTTTTGTAATGGGACTTTAACCTTTTCACATTTTTTTAAAAAATTCTGTGAATATAAGAGATCATTAAATTATGTTGAGAGTTAGTGCCAAATCAGTTCTTTCAGAAGATGAAGTACTTTCAACATTGCCTGTTTGTATTAAATATTACACTTTTAGCTGCTGGTGTCATAAGCAGCTGGGGTTGTGGTGACAAAGGATTGTTACTCCCTTCACTGCTGCCATGATGGTTTTGAGAGTAACCATACACTCTGTACTGCGGTAGAATGTCTTTGCTTCTGGTGCCTTGGGCAACAGAAGTCATTCTCTAGTAAGTCAAAAATGAAGGAAGTACTTTTTTACAAGACTTACAAGAATGCAGTATTTCTTGACTGCTGGGGAGGTGTCACCCCAGCACATTTGCCAATTGAGATTTGCTGTCTGAAAGTGGAATGTAAACCTAGTGTGACAGTGGACTCCACCTCTAGAAATGGAGTAGGATTTGTTTATTCTTTTGTGCTTAGTCATTGAAGAAGAGGAACATTAATCACGAGAAAGAGCTTGTTCTTTTTTCAGGCATCATCTGTTGACACAGTGAACCCTATTTCCTTTTCCTTGAGAAAGATGTACTGCTAATGTTTTAACAAAAGCTTTCATGAATGGGCTTAGTACCTCAAAAGTACATACCTTTGGAAGAGAAGGTATGTTCTGAACCAGCAGCTTAAATTTCTTTAAACAAAATGTTCTTTATAACTATTTCTAGTGGAGGAAGGAGGCATGACATATGGGGTATGTTAATTATTTCAACTGATATCACTTGGTGAACAAAGTTTACCGAACTGCTTTTATTTGAAAATATTATGAATATTTTTTTTCCCTAGAAAACATACCCAAACTAATTATGGGACAGGATAGTCAGCCTGTGTAGCTAAGAGAGGTTACAGCAATAAAAAAAAAATTCTGAATGTCTTTTGTTGAATAATATATGCAGTTCACTGAGTTGAAAATATTCTTCTTTGCCTCTCCCGTGAGTTTCAGTGGTGATTAGTTTATAGTGGGACTCATTTGCTGGTATTTGAAGAAAGGCTTCCACAGCACCCTTTGTGACATGCTTGAAAGGTTGCTTGAAGGAGCATCATGGACCATCAGAACCCACTCCAGTTCGTCACTTGACCTCTGTTTCACTTTCTTGAATAGCTTTAGGAATAGACTTCTGAAGGTTTAAGCCGTTCTGCTGTCCTGACTGGTTTTTGAGAAGTGCCTCCAAATGAAATGAGCGGGAGCCTTTGAATAGTCCACTAGAAGTTACGTGTATTTTTAGACTTCTCAGGAGCTGTACAGACTTGTAAACAGGAATTTGCATTTCAGGTGATTTGAAAACGTTTTGGACGCAATTGGGAAGTAGAAGAGTGGATGTCATATTTGAGCAGGTGCAAAATGTGCTGCTGTTGCTAAAGGAAAAGATCAAGAATGGAACTGCCACAAACCAAGGTTTGAAATCCTTGTAGCTGTTAAGCTGAACTGCAGAGGAGCTGTGGCCTGCTTTGTGTAGGTCTGTGAGATATCTGACATAATTCAGATATCTCTGAATTTAAATTACTTAGTAGTTGGTGCTTTTAAGCACTTTTTAAAAGTCTCTTCATTTTAAAAAAAGACAATCTCAGGTGCACTTTGCCATTTTCTTGTTTTGCCGATATACTTTTTCAGACAAAGCGTGGCTCTTCTTAGCTTGAAGATAACTATACTGATGACAAAGTAAAGAGAGAAACTGACACTAAGTTGTCTTTTTGTATATTACTCCTACTGTAGGCCACCAGTGTGTGTGTGTTTGGAAGTGTTCCCGCAGCTTTCCAAAAGCCAAGGGATATTCACTGTTAATTTACAACTACTACTGTGAGCTGTAATTTTATTGCAGTTCCTAGATGTGTCTGTTAAGGTCTGTGGTGCAAAAGGTTTCTAATACTATCAGTCTTGCAATACTCTAGATTAGCCTATTGAGGAAACAAGTATCTCTGGTGGACTTACACCTTGTTTTCCCTATTATCATTACTTTGCTTACACTAAGTATCTGCTTTGGTTTGGGTTTTTTTGCACAGAATGCTGGCAGGCTTGGGCACTGGTGAATGAAGCTAATCTAAGTGATCTCTTAACTTTGACAAACGGTATGTGCATCCCGATTGTATTTGTTTGGTATGCGGATTCATTTTTTTCCTGTTTTACTCACTAGAAGCTTAATTCCTTCCTTTGAAATCAATAAAACAGATCTGAGAAGGCCATTAGCATTACAGTGGGGAAAATATAATTATTAATTTCCTCAGGTACTGGACTGTGAACTTTCACCTGGATTTGTATTTTTGTTGTTTGTGTGTGTGTCGATAATACTTGTACCAAGGGAACCAGTTTGAACTAGTAAGCCCTGATGAACCTGAGCTGTCTGCAAGCAGAGTTATTCTGTGCGTGGCTCCACTAGCTGAAATACCTTGGCATTCTTTTGTCTCAAATAATGAAGGGAAATCTATAAATGTGTTTCATGTGCATGTTGTTTCTGGTCACTTTGAAAACTATGTGTAAGATTTTTTAGTGGGGCACTTACTGACATGCTCTTTGTTAGCTGTACTTCATAGCAATGCATTATTTTTAATGTATTTTGTCAATTTTCTGTTTAGTAACTAAATTCAATTATAAATTGAAATGTGAGTTGATAAAATTTTTGCTTGCATTCATTTTTTTCAGTAAGTGATGGGTTTGATGGAGATAGAGTACAGGAAACCAAACCCAAATTGCAGCATCTTCTTGCAGATGACAACACTGCAAATGCTGTAGAAGGTTCTGACAGGTCAGCGTCTTTATTTCAGTTCCTTATTTGACATGTTCTTTACTGCATTTGAGAGAGTTCTCAGTTTGTATTTCTAAAGTCAGTGTTTTAAACCCAGTTTTGAGTTCTGCCAGCTTTCAAAGTGAAAAGGTTTTTAACTTGACTTACATGGAAAATGTGAGGTTTTAAGTAGACTTGTCTAATTTACCCCATGAGAACATTGCAGAATAGGGCATTAGGTTGTGAATAAAAATTCATGAGTATTACCAGGATTATCAGGGTTAGGACTTAAGCAGCAGTTCTCAGACTTTCTGTACTTTGCATACTGTCAGGCATGTGACTTAGTCCCTCTGTATTTAGCCTCAGGTACTGATTGGGGGTAAATATGTTGTTCCTCTCTTTTTTTTTTACGTCCTTTCTGTGTTTTAGCATGTAAGTTCTTTCTAGGAAGAAGCTAAGAAGCTGTTGCCTTTTTTTTTTTTCTTTTTTTAATGCAACTGAATATGTCTTCATATGAAGTTAGGACAGTAACACCATGTGAAACAGTGTTTCAGTGAAACCCTGGGCCTTCTAGGAATGGGCTGTTTCTTTCCTGTGCTAAAAATATTGAACCACTAAAAAGCTGAATGCTTCGCTGGTTGTCTAAGATGCTGCTCTTTTTTCTTTTTTTTTTTCTCTTCTACTCCAAGTAACAGGAAAGAGGAGATGGAAAGAACATGGTCAGGGACTGAAAAAGCATCTAGCAAAATTCAACACTTACCCTTAAACCTACAGTATCAGAACCACAAGTGCTCTAGTGCATGTCTTGCCAAGGGAGCAGCAGGCTCCTACAAGGGTGAAAACCCTCTGAAGATACCAATCCTGTTTCACTTCCAAAGACGGCATGCAAAAGCAGACTGCCTTTCAAAATCCCTGGATGTGAATTACAAAGCTCCTTGCGGTCGGAGTCTGAGAAGCTTTCGAGATGTGCAAAATTATTTGTTTGAAACAAAGTGCAATTTCTTATTTGTTGATCACTTTTCCTTCAACACATATGTACTGTTGGGCAGGAACACCATGAATCCTGAACCTCTTGTGTTCGACTTTGATATTAGCAACGGAGCCGAGTCTGTGCCCATCTCCTTCTGTAACAATCTTGACCACGCAAGGTTACCTTATTTCAAATATCGGAAGTCATCATGGCCACGTGGATATTATCTCAACAACTTCTCCAGCCTGTTTGTGGATTCATGTGACTGCACAGATGGCTGCATTGATAGGTACACAGAAAAATCTAATCTCAGTCCAGTGACAGGATGCCACAACAGCAGTGTGGTGGTGTGTGAAGGTGCACAGTACCAAACAATGTCAAACAGGACCAATGCTGCTGGAATATCTGTGGGAGTTGTCTTGTACCATGTTCTGTATTGACTAACACCACTGTGTCTTTCTCTTCACCAGAACTTGGGTGCTCCTACTGGTCCACCCTCTGTTGTAGTGAAGGAAGTGTTCAACAGGTGGATTATTTTGTTCCTTTCCCTTTCTTCCCAAATTGGCAGTGCTTCTCCTCCAGGTGGAGCTGACAAGCAGGTCCCTTGGCTTTGGAAAAGGTGTAGGAAAGGGAGTCTTGTGCCAGCAGAGGAAGAATTTTTTCCTGGCAGGCAGGGAAGGATACCACATGACAATATCTGCTGCAGCTCCTACTGTGGTATCCTAAAGGTGGGATGGGACAGCCTGAAGGGATCAGATTGTTTGGAACTTAGAAGGTTACTGAGGGCAGAGGAAGAAACAACCCTGTTCCCAACCTCTACGTCCTTTCCTTCCCCTTTTCTAAACAGAAACTATGAAAGCCTGTGGTCACAGAATGCATTTATGGTCTGAGCAGTTCCAATAGTGTTGTTCATTGCTTTTTCTAAATCTCAGTAACTCTGGGCTACAGACACTCTGTGGGAACCTGTCACAGTTATTGTATGAGAGTTTGGTGATAATTTTGTCTGCTTTCTTGAAGGGTATTTGTCTGATCTCTATCTGTAGGTGTTACCTGGTATTGGATCCATTTTGTATTTTTGATAGCTGGGGCAGTTGCATGTGCTGGTGTGCAGCATAATTGCCCACGACCCAACAAGACCTTGAAATCACATCCTGGTGTAAAGAAGCTCCAGTAATTAAAGTGATTTAGTTTCAGCTGAGCAGTGAAGTCCCACAGGAGTTGAGATGCTTTTGATATGCAGTTTTGGGATTCAGGATTTGCATGATCACTGTGATTCTTTGCAGTTGTTGTGCCATACGATTGTGAAGACAAGTGCTGTTGCTTGAGTTCTCCACAGTGTAAAATTCTTCACTTCCTGAGGGCTAAGGTGGGAGGAAAGTAACAAAGTAGCGGGTAACAGGCTGGAATGCTGTGCCAGAAGAGGTGATTTTCATTCATTCGATCCATTTGATAGTGTCCTGTTTATAATAAATTTCTGTTGTACTTCAGCTGTTTGCATATGCCATTTAAGGAGCTTGGTGGAAGAATGAGTTTGGGGTGGAGCGAACATGTTTATTGTAAAGCACAAATAACCAGCCAAGAGACAAAGAGAGAAAGTACGGTGCCTGAAACAGCCTTGTGGAATAAAAGGAGTGGGGAAGGGGAATATAGATGTATATATACAAGTGTGTGTGTGTGAATAGTTAAGTACATTTCGACTTACCTAGATTTATGATTGATTTGCGCTGCTCCAAATACATTCTGAGATGTTTTATTCTTACTTTTAGGTCAAAATGTGCATGCCTACAGCTAACTGCAAGAGGCTGTAGTAAAACCTCTCTATCTTTGGGTAGTAAAAGATGCCGTGGATACCATTACAAAAGACTGGAGGGACCTGTTCCTAGTGGGTAAGAAAGACCAAACTATTAACTGCTATTTTATTTGTATGCTCTTATTTTACTCCTGTAGTGTAAGTGCTGCAGGATTAAGATAACTGGAGTTTTTGGCTAACTGAAACCTTCTATTTTTGTCTCAATTTTACTGACAGATCAGGATGATAAAAAATAATTAATGTGACTTGATCATGGCTAGGCTTCGTGAATGAAGATTTAGGAAGGCTCTATCCACATTTGTTACAAGCACGCTGGTGGCTAATGAGGCCAATACGAGATAGACATATCCGATTGCAAAAGGCACAGCAGAAAGACTCCTTAGGTGGTATATTCCGCAAGACACGATTCTTTCTGCGTTGTCTTTTCTCCTCGAGAGTGATCCTGCGTGCGTTCTCAAAGGAAACAGCAGCATTATAGATGGTGTGTCTCCAGGCCTCCCAACTGGAGGCCAGAGTAGACCAGTTATGTTGATTAATATGGCCAAGGCTGAGATGTTGTTTCAGGGAGTCCTTGTATCTTTTCTTCGGGGCTCCTGTCATGCGGCAGCCAGTGGCAAGTTCACCATAAAGCAGGATCTTAGGGAGGCGGTGGTCCTTCATCCTTGAGACGTGCCCTGCCCAGCGCAGCTGTGTTCTCAGCAACATGGCCTCAATACTTGTGACTGCTGCTTGTTCTAGAACAGATGTATTGGTCACATAATCTGTCCAGTGGATGTTTAGGATTATACGGAGGCAGCGTTGATGTGACTTGAGTAATAGGAGGAAAAAACCCAAAAACTCTTCTACTGCAGATCCTACAATTTTCACAGCTTAGATTAAGGTCTAAGAAAAGTGTAAAGAGTGACCAGAATCCTAAAGAAGCATTGACCAGCTGCTGTTGCCAGACTTGGTTATGTGTGACTCATCCAAGAGTTTCCAAAGCCATCCAATGCTTCAAGTGTTTGCCCTTTCTATTATTCAGCTCCTGTGGATTAATATGTGGCCTGAAGAAGGTGCCAGTTACTTCAAGTGTTTAGAAGAGGAATTGTGCAAAGCAGCTTTCTGCAATAGCCAAGGGCTTGAACCCACAGGCTTAAGGAGCCCTTTCAGTTCTCTCTTGCTGTGTGATGTTAGTTTATGGTTAACATGCAGAATTAAAGCTGTCAGAGAACCCAGAAACAAATGCCAAAAAAAATCACAGTTGTGAGTTTTTAGATATACTTTGTTAAATCTTTAAACTCATGACAGCTGCATTGAGGTCCAAGCATATAGGTTGTCTTTGCTAAAATCTGTTCCAGCATAGAATGAGGTGCTTCATAGGGATTTCTGCTTCTGTGAGATTTACTCCTATAAAACAAAAATTTAGCATTTATTTTTCTTGTCTGCTGATACCAAAATCTAGCTGACACTCTTAAAATTGATGAATCAGCAATCAAGAAAGTCACAATTTTCAGAGCACTGCTGCACAACCAGTTTTAGTCAGTCTTTATCTTTTCAGTCCACTGCCTTATTGATGCTTAGAAGGGAAATTAATAATAGAAACTTTGTTTTAGTAGTGCATCCTTTTATATTGTATTTTGTTTTTCTTCCTCTTGACAGAATTTACGAGTGCAGTGTGTTGTGCAGGTGTGATAAGTTGATGTGTCAGAACAGAGTTGTACAGCATGGCATTCAAGTCAGGTTGCAAGTTTTCAACACTGAAAAGAAAGGCTGGGGCGTCCGCTGCCTGGATGATATCGACAAGGGGACATTTGTTTGTACCTACTCAGGTAACAGAAGGTGACCTGTGGAAGATGTGTAGCATAATTTTCCCTCTCTTGTGGTCTCTGCCCTGGATTTTTTTTGAGAACAGGGAAATATGGGGTTGGAGGAGAAGTGTGTCAATATAATCTTAACTTGCAACATGATCAAATGGACAGAAGAACCTTGAAGAACTCTGCAATGCAATGGTGACAGACAAACAATCAAAACATTCTGGAGCAAAGCCTGTCTCAGACTGTTGATTTTTTTACCTCATAAGTCTGTGCATGCTGTACCGAGGGCTGTATGTCTAATTCAGTTTGTATGTCAGCCTCTATTGACATCATAGAATCATAGACTGCATTCATATTTTGCTTTCCCAACTAATGTTCTTGTATTTTTTTAATGTAAGTTTGACCTATGATAGTGTGAAAGTAAGAAAACAAACATTAAAAAAAAAACAAAAAGCAAACCAAACTTTTCTTTTGCTTTCAGGCAGATTAATGAGCAGAGCTGAAGTATTGGGAGATGCTGATCAAGAGCTGAAAGAAAAGAGTGCTGTGAATGACAGAAACCATGGGTTTTTTTCCAAAAAAAGAAAACTTGACACTGATTGTTCAGATTCAGTCATTGAACTAGTGCAGACTGGTAAACATGACATTCTTGAGAATCAGGAATCTTTGTCTCAAACTGTGCATAGTGAAAATAAATCAACCCTGTAAGTTTATCAAAATAAACTTAAGCATAACAAAATCAATATTCTGCTCTTCTAGGAATTCTGTTTTATAACTTAGAGTAGAACTGAATGTCCTCAAATGAGAGTGGGGTTTTTTCTTCTAGTGGGACAGAGTTTTCCTCTGTGTGAATTTTATTTACTATGTGTACCACTTGGCATTTTCTAGAAATCCAGTTCATCTCTTGGATGTACTTGATCTGTTCAGGGCATTAATCGTGATGCAACTTTGAAACAATTTATAGAAGACACTTGAGATAAATAATTTAAAGATCCTTGATGATGCTGAAGGGTTTAATGACATATTAGCCACTAACTGTCCTGTCCTTTGCTACCAGTCCCTAAACTTTTTCTTTTTTCTATCATAACCTTTCCTGCTAGAAGTCTGACAACACCTCACTTTTGCAGTGAATTATGTTTTCATTGTGTACTCAGGGTCTCATAGCCTATCAGCATTCCTAAAATAAAATTACTGCAAAATAACCACGTGGCTGTGTCAATAGCATGCTGAAGTCTGTTCAGAAGGAAGTTGGGAGCTTCTTTGTTGCTCTGCTATACTACTTTGTAAACACTTTCTTTGTACTACTCACAAATGATAGCAAATTCTTGCTCTTGTCATAGTAGAAGATTATTGTGGAACTTTGAGAAGTACCATGAAATTGCAAATGGAAACTTTTAAAAATATCTGCTACTATTTTCTCACTTGCATTTCAGTATCTTGGAGGCCTAGTGAATTCATCATTTTCTAATTACATAATTAAAAGTAATCAGCTAGGTTTTACTTCTGCTAAGTGCCATTACTAAAAACTGTAGGCAATCAGAGTTTCAAAGTTGCCTGTACTACACTGCTACCTTAAATCTCATTAATTTCCTTTCCTGAGATTAAAAAAATGTTTTACACTTGGGCTGTATTAAAAAAATATGACAGACAAAAAGGCATTGTTATTCTGCCTCTTAAGAAATGACAGTCAGTCCAGCTGGACTGAGAAACATTTGAGAGGACCTCAGTATGCTAGGCTTGACATGTCATTCACCCAAACAGCTTGCCTTTAAAAGAATAAACAATGTAACCATGTAATAATGTCACATTTTCTTGTAGCCTCTGCACATTTTGAATTTACAAAGGAGTTTAAATCTTAAGAAAACCTTAAAAAGCAGCATTTCTTGCAATTATCAGTAGCCCAAAGAAGTATCAGGATTTTCTTTTTTGTGGCAGGAAAACACATTTTTTTACATTGAAAATTTTCTTGAATAAGGGCAGTTATTTATTGCTAGACATTTTACAGATATTAATATTAGTTTTGAAACTGGTGTCTTCTACTGCAGTCTGAATGTAATCCAAATAATTGTGACTTTAGGTGTTTTAAATGCATATACCAAATACTACTTCCCATCTTCCTCAACTCTCTCCTAACATGAAGGACTGAGGTCCTTTTGAGGGAAAGTGTTTTCGAAACCTGCCATATACTGCATCTCTCCCCCTCTGCTATCCCTTGTACCCACAACATCTTTGCTCTCCTGTTTGAAAGCTGCACTATTAAAACTATTGAAAGTAGTAGCAGGAAAAAGGCAAAACTCTGTCTGTAGGTGCTCTATTTTGGGGTGATCTGATGTAATAATAATAAAACAGCAGACAGTTTGGTTCTCAGCTGGACAGCTGGGAAACGATGTAAAAGCAGCTGCTGATCCCTCAAAAAAAGTATGAACAACTGGTTTTTTACAAATACTACAGAGAACTTAGCCTAGGTCCTCAATTCTTAAAGGCAAAATAATCACAGAACGTGGGGTGAGGCCAGACTGCAGGCTCTGCTGTCGGCTCTTGTAGAGAATAGACTAGAACTAGAGGCTGCGAAATGTGTGTTGTGAGAGTTACTTGTGAGTCTGTTTGTCTTTTATAATTTCCTTTTGACCTTTCTGTACAGGGTTCATCCAAAGAACTTGAATATTGCAACCACAAGGCCTGGAAGAACAGGTTTTTTTCACAATCACCGGCTAAAAATGGTAATAATAATAATAATAATAATAATAGGCTTTAATAGATTCATTTTTCTGTGCTGAATATTTATGTTAATTTTGACCTTTTCAACTTGTACATTTAGATAGTTCTAATGACCTTTCTTCAGGAGATTGTGTCACACTGTGAGCTAAGCTGCCATGCTGGAAGCTGCACCCCATCCCTTCTCCATTATCAGTCCTTCAACATGTTCCTCCAGACCAGCACTAACTACTCCCACAGCCTTCCCTTCTCCACCCTTCACTTACACTCCAGCCTTGAGAATCTTAGGAATTTATTTTCCCCTTCCACCTGTTGTCACTAACTACAGGGTTAGGGTGTGAGAGTGATAATATTTTTGTGATGCCTCCCAAAAGAATGGCGTAGCAGGGAGAGAGGAAAATCTCAGGATTTGTACGCGATTTTTTCATGCAGTGGTAGAGTTGGGAAAATTTGATCTGATCTGAGTGTGAAGTGTTGCCTGCAAATATGTGTAAAGGAGGAAAACTGGGGTAAACTTACTCTGTAGGTTTTATTGGATTCATTGCACTTACAAAATGCACATGGGATTTTCATGCTAACATTTGGCTCCATTCTGGAGCTACTGTAAGTGGTTGCCTTTATGTGGCAGGAGAGGAGAAATCCTGCCACATCTGTTCATTTCATTGAAACTCTGTAAAAAGCATGTTTGGGCTTTGGTTCAGCAACTTAGAATTCTGGTGAAATTGTTGGGACTTACACACTTACTTAAATGTTTTGTTGCATGGGGAACTCCTTCCAGATTATTTTGAAGGATCGTTTGAAATTAAATATTGCATTGCAGTGAATGTATTAACTTTTCAAACTCGGCCACAGCCATGCATTCTAGAAGGTTTGAACCTGCAGCCCTAGAGTTCTAGAGGCCACTTGCTGTACTGTGTTGACTCCGAGTTGCACACAGCAACAATACATCACAGCCTTTTCATTTGACACACAGGTGCACAGTGCCAGCTCAGATGAAGATAATAGTTCTCAGATTCATCAGTCAAGCAAAACAAAAGTAAACAGTGGAACAAAGAAAGGAAAAGAAAGTAGGTTTTCGGAAGTATACATACTGCATTCTTAGTATGATTGTGTCCCATCAGGTGGTAGACTTTAATGTAGTCAGTGTGGACAGGCCTGTTCTCGGAGTAGAACAATGTCTGCATGATGTGGAAGCTGTTTTAAGAGAGCTCAGTAGTACAGAAATTATTGCTCCCTTGCATAACACAGTGCATTAATCGGTACAGGGCAGTCTTTTGCCTGCAAAGTTGATCTGGGGATATGTTGAACTCTCCTGACAGCAGCTTTTAAATACAATGCAATTGTGGGAAAGTCAGTCTTGCAGATCTTGTTGTGTCACACCCAGTACATATTCTGGTCAACAAAAATTGAACAGGATATAATCCAGGGATGGGGGGACCTCAAGCTAGAGAGGCAGTGTGAAACTGATGCTATTTGCACTTGCATCTTGTTTCTGTTTAAATTATAGTTTGTGATTCTCTTGGGAATTAAGGTGGAGAATGATGAAAAAATGCTATGTGGAAGAAATCAGTCTGGAGTGGGATTTGGGAAGAGTGAGAGGCTTGGTCACTCACAGGTGCCTTGAGCAAGTGCTTTAGACACCACAGCAGGAAACAGTCATTTGCAGGAGGATTGATGAGAGGCATGGAAAAGGGCGGTTGTGTTATAGACTTGTAAATAGCAAGATGGTTAGATTTTGGAGGACATGGGTAAGAGTTCAGGGCCAAACAAGGGCAAGGCTTTGGTCTTAAACTGATGTTGCAAAATAATTACATGTCCATTGACAGAATCCACCCAGGAGCAGAAGGAAGACCATCAGATGGAAATTGGACAGACCGAGTCTGTTGGTGTGGACAGTGCGGGATACAAAAGAAAGAGTCTGTCGCTGCAGGGTGTTGATTGTGGCAAGTCAAGTGTGCTGGATGACACATGTGTTGCGAGGCCATCCAATAATATACCCCTAAAAACTGACTGCAAAGAGGAAAATAGCAGGCAGTCAAGTCAAGATGCAGTTTGTGAGGAGGCTGATGGAGATGGGATGCTTCCGAAGAATGCTTCTAAAGAAAATATTTATGTACTGGATGCCACAAAAGAAGGAAATGTGGGTCGTTTTCTAAATGTAAGTAAAAAGTTACATGTGTTCTGTTCATTGTCTTTGCAAATACATCATTCATTTATTTAAGCTTAACCTAGAAAGCTTTTGCACATAAACCATATATGAGGTAGATGCATGAAAGGAAGGCACATGTGATGCTCCCTGCCATCACAAGTGACAGGACAGTAGGCTGGGTCACTGTTAGTGGCTTCACAAGCTGATGCATGCCACATACCAGCTGTAGTTTTGGCACCACTGGGTTCCTTAGTGACGTATTCCCCAGTAATGAGTGACGTCTTTATTCTGATGGCCTTCTGGGGGGTCCAGAGAGCAAATGGCACGTTTTGTTGATCCACATGCCTTCTCCCAGCCATTGTAAATTCTAGTTAGTGCTGGTTTAGGGCAAGTGTTGTGATATTTTACAAAACTTCCTACTGTTCAATCATAGTTCAGAAAGTGGTCTGTCCTACTGTGTACGTGTCTACTAAATAAGTCTCTCAGTTTTGACTTGCCAAGAAATAAATAGTAATGAATTACGAAGTACCTCCAGCTAAGATGAATAGACATTTCTGCACATGCTCTGCAAATACCTTATTGCTCTTCATTGGCAGAATGTGTCTTACAGCAAAATCCTTGCAATATGTTTAAGCTGTTCTTTCTTGCAGAGGTAATATGGTGCTAAGATTAGTAATGCATCTTGCAGAAACCTTTCTTCTGCAGCCATGAGCATACACATGTTCCTTTGAGCACCTGAATCACCTTTCACATCTGACACTTTGCCAACACACAATCATTTAATCCATTGCTTGCTCCCTTGCACTGCTCCCCTGGCTGACAGCGAGATACATCTGTCACATACTGATTATTTGTGGTGCATTCTGAATCTAAGATGAATTTTCTCCATAAATTTCTGGAGAACAACTTGATAAAAGAACTTGGTTTTCATAGGCAAAAAGTAATACTTTAAAGAGACATAATTATTGCAAAAATAAGTGGCAGTGGCATTGAGTAATAGATATTCTGTGTGGGCTGGAGATGGGAAGGAAGAAACTACCTTTTCTAGTGACAAATATCTGACACAAAGTAGGTTTTTCAGCCAATGATGTGGTGTTTCACTGTTTCTAATACAGATTTCCTGTTTTACAGCACAGCTGCTGCCCAAATCTCTTTGCACAAAGCGTGTTTGTAGAGACTCACAACAGAAGTTTTCCATGGGTGGCATTCTTCACAAACAGGTGAATTTCTGGAAGTTAAATGTTGTTCATTCAAGGTACTAGGGGAAAAAAAATCAGTATTTAGTTATTAGGACATAATTATGCTGAGGGGTGGGAGAGATGCTTAGATCATGAAAGCACAAAATTACCTTCTTATTGGTGAGTTCTTATTGTGCACTAAAGACAGAAGAAATACAGTTTCTTGATTATCACTGATGAGTTTTTCTTCAGTTTTGCATTGAAATGTGAAGTGGGAAAGATGTGTCCATTTCAGTGATAATCTTCTTCAGTGGACAAATAGGTTTAACTCGGCATGGTCATTTTGAAAGCCAAGATTCACTCATCCCGCTGTTCTGTCTCAAAGAATGGCCTGCAGATCTTGGTCCCATAGGGCAGGATTAAACCCCACAGAATATTAAGGTTGAGATACTTTGTGGGCCAAACAAGCTAGCTTCAAGCCTTCTCACAGCTATCAAGAGAAGCAGGACTTTGTGTAGCCCAACATGTCCCAGGGAAGTGGCATTAGGATACTTAAAGGGTGAAAATTTGCTCTGAAAGCAAAAGATACAGGTATTTCCTTAGTGGCTGATAGAAAGGGTGGTACAGAGAGCTGGTGCCAGTAAGACATAAGAAGATGACAGCTAAACCCAGGGGTGGAAGGATTAATTGTCTGAATGAATCTGGCTGATGCATGTACCAGCGGTGATACTAGGCAAGAACTTAAAATAGGAGAGAATTTGTCCCAGACAAACCAGTTCTTGGGAACACTGATCTTCTGTGGAGTCTTGCAACCCTGGTCCAAACTAACACAGATGCTGTGGATTGCACTGGGAGGCTTCCAAGAATTGTGAAGACAAATGTGTTGAAATATGTCAGAAAAAAGATTTTGTTTTACCTAGAGACTTTCTGGCTCCGGTACTCTGTAAAGATATGTGTAGTGGGGACTGAGGCAAGTAGAGAGAGGTAACAGTGATCAGCAAAGACACTTAGGGAAGGAGGAGGGTTGTTGAAAGAGCGTTTCCCTGACTGGCTCTCACATTTACTGGACATCACCCTTTTACAACTTTTCTACATTAAGGACTTCATCTGGATCATTGAGCTTAATTGTGTACCTTCCATGAACTTGCCCAGTCACCTTGTCATTTCTTTTATATGTCTGACCTCCAGAACATCTTAAGGCAGCAAGTCCCAGGTTGAAATGTGCTGTTTGAAAAGTCCTCGTTGTTTTTTCTCAGCCTGCTGCCTGGTAATTCACTGGATGTCCCTTACATTGTATCCAATGAGAAACATTGGAGAATTACTCTCTTCTTTATAATACTCATATTTTATTGTATTTTCCATCAGTTGTCCCTCAGCATGTTAGTCTAAGGTATTTAGTTTGGCATTCCTTTCGGGCAATGAATTTCCTACCTTAGAAATTTCTTCTCTTTCAGGTACTGTCAGAGCAGCTGGTTCATGAGGAGCATGTGTTTAATTCTGAGTCTTTGTGCATATGGATAGTGCAATTGCATTAAAACGTAGCTTGTCAGGCCAAAGATGGCCAACATACCTAGAGATCTGTTCAAACTTCAGTGATGCACTGTACTTAGTAAAAATAACAAAACTGTGTTCTCATTTAGGATGTGTTCACTTATAAATTTTTCCTTTTTTGTTGTTGTTGTTGTTTTGTTTTGTTTGATTTTTGTTTCCCAGAATTTTGTCTAAAAGCAGGTTGTTTAGACTCTGACACTATTGCACTGCTTGATAAATTCTTTTCATTTATGTGTGGGTATTTGCACTCTGTACAGCTCTGGTAGGCCAAGCACCATGTGTGTGTCAGAGACTCCTTATATATCTTATTTCTCTCCCAACAAGCTGCCTGTCTGATGGTCCCTGCCCCATACAGTTTTTGGGTTTGCATGTGAGTCATTGATGACAAATTGTAAACACAGTACCGTTTCACTCCGTTCGAACAAATTGACCGAGTGTTTTGTTTCTCAGACATGTGAAAGCTGGAACTGAACTCACGTGGGATTATGGCTATGAAGCTGGAAGCATGCCAGAGACAGAGATTTCCTGTCAGTGTGGAGTTCAGAAGTGCAGGAAAAAAATCTTATAGGCAAAGCTTCCCTACTGCCAACACACCTTGTACCCAGGGATTTATATGCTGGACAGGACTACTACACAGCGAACAGTATGCTCAAGTCTGTGGTGCTAATTGCATTCAATTAAAATGCCTTTCACCTGATGTTTTCTTAAATTTACATTTAAATGTCACTTTTGTAGTTTACAGAATTAGAACTGTTTTCCTAAGAACAGGCATCAAACTTTTCCTAGATAATTTCTGTGCTCCTGGTCTTCCTCCTCCCCTCTTCTCATCCGCGAGCAAAGTTCACAGTGCACTGGAAGAACTTGTGCTCCGTGCCATCTGCAGCAGAGACACAACTGATGAGAGCAAGAGTTTGTTGGTGTTTTCTGTGCCCTCCCAAAGTGCTGAGTTAGTAAAACTTGCTTTTCTGAAACTCATTGTGAATGCAAGTCTGCCTTTCTCGGGGCTTAGAACTGTTAAAATACACCTAAGCCTAATGGATCTGGTGGGAGAAATAATCTTGAACAGAGATTACATTAATCAGAACAGTTTTGCAGAGCTGTGTTTGTGCTACAAAGTGAGCTGGGCAAATTCTGCTACTGCAGGAGAGAAATGCCTGCTTCTTATTGGGTTCACAGAATTACAGAATATGCTGTGTTGGAAGGGACCCACAAGGATCATCGATTCCAACTCGTGGCCCTGCACCCATTCCCAAGAGTCACACCTGATTTTGTGCCTGAGAGTATCGTCCAAATGCATCTTGAACTCTGACAGGCTTGGTGCTGTGACCACTGCCCTGGGGAGCCTGTTTCAGTGCCCAGCCACCCTCTGGGTGAAGAATCTTTTTCTGTTACCCAACCTAAACCTCCCCTGACACAACTTCAGGCCATTCTCTCCGGTCCTGTCACTGGTCACCACAGAGAAGAGATCAGTACCTGACCCTCCTCGTCCCCTCATGAGAAAGTTGTAGACTGCAATGAGGTCTCCCCTCAGTCTCCTCCAGGGTGAACAGACCAAGTGACCTCAGCTGCTCCTCATAGGGCTTCCCTTCAAGGCTCCTCACCATCTTTGTTGCCCTCCTTTGGACACTCTCTAACAGCTCAATATCTTTCCTGTATTGTGGTGCCCCAAACTGCACACCATATTCAAGGTGAGGCCGCACCAGTGCAGAGCAGAGCAGGACAATCCCCGTCCTTGACTGGCTGGCGATGCTTTGCCTGATGCCCCCCAGGACATTGTTGGCCCTCCTGGCTGCCAGGGCACTGCTGACTCAGATTCAACTTGCCATTGATCAGGACGCCCAGGTCCCTTTCCATGGCACTGCTTTCCAGCACCTCATTCCCCAGTCTGTATGAACATCCGGGGTTGCCCCATCCCAGCTGCAGAATCCAGCACTTCAGTTGTTGAACGTCATGTGGTTGGTGATTGCCCAGCCCTGTGATTTGTCGAGGTCTCTCTGCAGGGCCTCCCTCCCTTCAAGGCAGCTCCTCCCAGTTGTGTGTCATCCGTAAACTTGCTTAGTATCCCTTCCAGTCCTGTGTCCAAGCCATTTATGAAGATGTTGAAGAGCACAGGGCCCAAGATGGAGCCCTGTGGAACCCCACTAGTGACTGGTCACCAGTCTGATGTCACCCCATTCACTGTTACTTTCTGTGCTCCACCCATGAGCCAGTTGCCCACCCACCACATGATGTGTTTATCCAGCTCTGTGCTGGACATTTTGTCCAGAAGGATCCTGTGAGAGACAGTAGCAACAGTTTTGCTGAAGTCTGAAAGTAGTACATCAACTGGCTTCCCTTGATCAACTTGATGGGTTACCTTATCATAAAAGGCATCCCTCTCCATGTTTGTGACACACAGAGAACTCCTTGAGAAATCCAGTGTACCTCATTTTAGTGCTGTATTGTGTAGCATGGGACAGGGGGGCCACAGAAGTCCTTGCCATGTGGTTTGTTGGTAAGAGAGAAACAGACTACATTAGGGGACAGTGAGCGCAGATGCAGGATGTGGCCCTGAAATGGAGCAAGGGATGGGTGTGCAGGCATGTGGCTTTTCAATGTGTTGGAGCCTTGTGCAAAGAAAGAGGTGTCACAGGTGGGCGACACAGACCACTTGAAGAACCACCAGCAAAGGTATCAGAAAAAGTGGTTTTATTAAAGATGTTGTAAAAGTGTTACTTAACGAAGTTTGATGGCAAGGTTTACTCTGTTACTGCACAGGATATAATAATGATTTAAAATTACCAACACAAAATCAATGACCAATACAAAATCTAGTGCGCTCTAATACAAGATTATGTGCAATATCAATCACCAGGGACCTGCAGTTGGGCTCGGGTCTCCCAACCTCGAGGAGTAACTGTGAGGGGTGTCCCAGCTCACAGGGGGAGATCACTGCCATGCAGCCAGCTGCTTAGCAGGGAGAGCTCAAAGAAGGCTCATTTAGGCTGTCATTTATGGAATCAAGTGGTTGGCTTGTAGTCAAATTACCTGCAATGGAAAAGGTCACCATGGTACCCACAACTTGCTTTGTTCCTCATAAATGAGTTTTGGAAGAACCACCTGCTATTCATATGTTAATTGTATGGTTGGTGTCCCAGTTCCCAAGCCCATATGCATCAGTGCTCACAAGGTATTTTCATTGTATTGTAACTTAAAGTTCTATTCTTTGGCTATTTTTCACCATCATCCAAAGAGTACAAAGGCTACCAGTTATTACAGTATTCAATTAGCCGTTTTCTGGAGACAGAGCCTCCTGTTGCACCTCCCACCTCCCTCCACTGTTTCAAAATACATCCTAGGGGTGATTTCTCCAAAGCCCCCCCTTTTGATGTTTGACCAGAACCTTCATAGAATATAATAAAACACAATTACATTTCCTTTTGAGAGTGATGTGCAACAGCCACTCACACTTTTAACCCTGAGGGGTGTGCAAAACCTGCTCACACTTTTTAACCTTCCGTAGGGCTGGCACTCTGGATATCCCCATAGTTATGTGCAAACTAGCCCAAAACCTAGTTTCCAAGTTCCCTTTACCTTAATCCAGTGAGACTTTCCAGCAGCCTCGTTATACCCTCCCAGTAACACCTTAATAAATCCCAGGGGCCATGCCCTGAACTCAACAGATCAGGGGACCGGAGGATCTCCCTGAAAAACCTCTGGTGCACACTGGAGTCCTCTCGATCCTGTGAATCTGTCAAGCATTGGATGCAGGGTTCCATCTGGATCACCAGAAATTGTCACTGAAAATGTCGGGAAAATAAAACTCTCTAACACTGTAATTTCAGTATTAGAAAGCTGAGCAGGCAGTACTTTATCTTTGGCTCGAGGTGCGTGGGGGAATTGCTCCTCCTGACACACACACACCGATAATCAAAATTTTTAACTATTTATACACTTTAGCAAACAAAGGAATTAGTGTTCATTGGCTACAAGTTACATTGTTCCAGTATTCAAATTGTATCGTCTATCAGTTAATGATTCTCTCTCTTCTCATGCTAATTAGTTGCATGCTTAGTTTCTCCTTTCTTTTTGGTCAGTGGGTTTCCTGGGTCAGTAGTCTCTGATCCCTCCTGCCAGAATTGCCTTTTACCCACTTGGAGCTGACTGCAGCACAATTACAGAGTTGGTTTTAAGAGTTTCTTTCTTATGAGTTCTGCCAAATGTCCTTGTGGCCCGTAAATTCTGCATTCTTCCTGTCTGTTTTCAGTGGTACATCCTTCTTCCCAAACTATGTTAACCTCCTCCCCCAGGTCTGCAATCACTGAAGCATGTCATGCCCTAAACTTAAATTTGTTTTTCTAACATCTTGACATCATTTAGATCTTGCTTGTTGGCTGCCATCTCTTTCATGGATTGAATCTTCCTTCTTGTTCATTAGTCTTGAAGGTTACCAAGATCAAACATCAAAGAACATCCTTTCTTAAGAAAGTTTTTTTTTTCCCCGTATAACACTGTTTGTTACAAATAAAGATTTTCCCAACAGCCTGGTTGTCATGGTGGCGTTCGGTCACGGGATGGACTCGGTATCTGAGAGGTCTTTTCCAACCTAATTGATTCTGTGATTCTGTGCAAAGTGAACGGGGGGCCGATGGGAGCATGGGGGTGTCGCCTTTCTCATGGGGAAAGGCCTCAGGAAGCGGCTGCCCGGCGGCGCCCTAGGAGCGCCGGGGCCGACTATCGAACCCGTGTTCCCGCTCCTAAACCGCAGCCCACCCGAGGGGGCGGGGAGTAGCCCGGGCGTCCCCACCCGATCACATGACTGGCGGCGCGGTGGCGCGCGCCTTCCCCTCCGGCCCCGCCCCGGGGGCCGGAGCCAATCAGTGCCGGGAGGGGGGGGGAGTGCACCGGGCGGAGCATCGGCGGGCGCCACCGCGCATGCTCCGGACCCGGCTGGGCCCGCCCACTTCCGCGCGGGAGCGCTGGGGGCGGGGGAGGGGGCGGTGGGAGCGGCAGCGTGCGCGAGCCGGGCCGCGGGCGGGCGGGCGGGCGGGCGGTAAGTGCCACCGCGGGCGGGGGGGGGGGGGGGGGGGGGAGGAAGCGCGCGAGACTCGGCGCCTCCTGAGTGCTGGTCACCCCCCCTCCGTCCCCGCAGTGCCAAGGAATGGGCCCTGCCGGGGCTCGCGCAGAGCCGGGACGGGGGGGCCGTGGGGCGGCACCAGGTTTAGGGTGTGTATCGTGGTTTGAGAGCCCCAAATTAGAAATTGGATCTTGGGAGTTTCAAACCACCACAGGTGAGTATCGGGAAAAAAATACTTTACTGTGAGGGCGGTGAGGCCCTGTCACAGGTTGCCCAGAGAAGCTGTGGGTGCCCATCCCTGGAAGTGTTCAGGACCAGGTTGAATGGAGCTCTGAGCAGCCCGATCTAGTGGAAGGTGTCCCTGCCCATGACAGGGGTTTGGAACGAGGTGACCACAAGTGAAAGGTGTTCAGAAAGGCAGATTTGCTTGGTTTTGCTCCTTGCAAAGGCTGGATGTGTTTGTGCTGTAATGACTTTGGGGGGACGGGGGGGGGACGCGTGTGGGTCGT